GAGGCTGAACCCTCAACAGTCTGCAGAATCCCCTAACTGATTACACTGTAAGTGATAATCCACCTTAACCCCGGCTGTGGTTAAGCATCAACGACGGCCCGACAACTGATACCCTGAGGTGGGCACCAACCACTGCCCTCGAGGTACCTGTGGCAAAAGTCAAAGCAGACTATCACTACATATATATATATATCGTCACAAACAGAACTGCCCAGTAAACCGTAGGCAGAGAGAGAGAAGAGGTTGTCGGGCAGTCATTGATGCTTACAGTGCAATCAGTTAGGGGATTCTGCCCCACAAACAGAACTGCCCCACAACCAGGGTTAAGGTGGATTATCACTTACAGTGCAATCAGTTAGGGGATTCTGCAGACTGTTGAGGATTCAGCCTCCTGATGAATCGGTGAAACTCCGTCAAAACAGTTTGTCACACTCTCTGCCTGCGGTTTACCGTGCAGCTCTGTTTGACGATATATATTTAACGATATTAACATGATTAACTTATTAAACTATAATTAGTGTACATACACATTATATCTAGGCCAAAAAAGGGATGTACTCCACACAACCCTTATGCCCCTTTCCACACCCAACTACAACCACTACCAAACCCCTCTCTATGCTTGAGAAAGATTTCCTGAAAACAAGACACAGGCGTATGACTGCAGCATAGTACTACATCACAACACCGCAGTGTACATACACCAGGCAGTGCTGACAACCACACAACACGCAACATCAAAATGTAAAGTATGACAGGGCAAAGACACCACGTTCAACCATTCGCTGCAAGGGGCATGCCGAGCTACTGAAAGAAGTACTCCGGCCTAGTTGGGAATTCAGAAGAGGAATGTTCCAGCGGGGAGGCAGAGACAGGGTAATCGGAGAAGAACAGCACTCAAGCGAAAGGTATTACTTACAACAAAACATGCGGTGAATCCGACAGGGCAACAGATATGAAGACATGTATTGCCAATTTTTTGGCGATGTGGATGATGCAAAGCAGCCAGAGCATTGACTCCTTCCTTCAAATTCTAAGTTTTGTCAAAACCCAGAATTCGATAACACACGAAATGATAGAAGTATTTAAAGTTGAACGGCGGGACGTGCTTGAGTTCGGTCAGAAGGGACTTCTGAAAAGATGTGAGTGAGGACAAGGACAATCAAACATGTCACAATACAGGCAAGTAGGTAAAGAGTAGCCATTGCTGTCAAATTTGTGGTACAGCATACAATGTGTTCCGTTACTCTCCTAGGAGAGAACCATTCTACATCGTGCAACTCATCAAAAAAAAAAGAAAAAAGAAAAAAAAAAGAGCAAAATGCGGGGACTTTGTGGGCTCTTCCATAGGAGAAAATACACACCGGAAAGAATCAGAGGAAGAGATGAAACTAGTTAGAAGGAGAATGTCGTCTGGGTGCAAAATTGTCTTCCGGGCATTGAAGAGTGTAACAACCTGCATTTCATACAATCAGACCACATCAGACAGCTGAGCAAACAGAACCACTGTTGCCAGTTTCCCTCCATATAGATAAATCAGTTAATAACTTCTCTTTTTTCCCGGGTAAACTAGGGGAACACATCTTTGCTCTGCCCACTTCATAAAAGCAATTCCCTTCTTTGAGACAAGCATATGACTACTAGCAGGATCAACCAGGTCAGGCAAATGCAAAGCGCAGGGACGTAATCAGCGCGAGCTAAAAACTAGTCAAAACTTACTAAAATTTAGTAAAAAGTTAAAACCCCATTCTGTCATTTGGGTGGATATCAACTTCTGAGCACAGCAGTGCGTAACCAGTGAACAACCGGCAGCGGCGGCAGGTCAGAGAAAAAAAGCCGAGGACCGCCTGTGTTACCTAAGAAGCCGCCCGGTTGGTTGTTAACAGCAGGGGACAGCTGAGAAAACAGAGCCACTTCTTGACAGCTTTGTCAAACTTTTGAGCATCACAGAGCGTAAAAAGTCAACAGAAGTTAACAACCTATACCTTTCTCGGCAGTTTGGCTCAAAATAGATCAAGTGCATTGTATCTTTTCTGATCGCTTTAATATCTGATACGTGTTCCATCGGGCCGCCAAAACACAAAAAAAAGATTAGCATGGCCCCTGTGTAAGGATGACATTTGTTACAATCCTGGCCAATTTCGAAGTATACATTCATCAGAAAGTACAATGCCGTCCAATTGCAAAAACGAAGTGAACGAACTTGAGAGGAGAGAGAGGGAAAGAAAAAGAAGAAGAAGTAAGAAAGAAGAAGAAGATAATGTGCTCCAGCATAGACCAAAGATAATGCTCTTATTCTTCGCCAACCAATCTCCTCCTCCTCATCTCCTCCCCTCTTATTCAAACAAGAAATAACAATAATAATGTTGAACGGCTGAACCAGAATCAATGTCCAAACCCCTCTTCTACTGCAGGCACAACATGAGGTCCACCATAGCCATGGCCACCCTTCTCCTTCCTCTCACATGTAGGCCGAGGCTATGGCGAACTACTGAGGGCTCAACCCTCCTGTCCAAAGGACAACCCAAAGCAGCTATGTCGCTGCCTTCCTGTGCAAAGGACAACGCAAAGCAGCTATGCCGCTGCTCATTAGGCCGCCATGTCTGTCTCTGCCCCGAGCTTCCTTGGTGCGGCACTACCCCAACTGGGGCCTTCCAGATGCAGCGCCTATCAAGGCTGTCTCTTATACACATCTAGATGTGTATAAGAGACAGCTCCTCCTCCTACCGGTAGAGCTCCACCATAGCCAAGGTGGAAGCTCCCGGCTTCTTCCTCCCAGCAGCGCTGTAGTAGCCAGCGCTCCAGCAGCGTGTCGCCAAACTTGCACACTGAAGAATGAGGCCGGGCTCTTTCCTCGGCCTCTTGATATAGCGGCCTACTTGCCTCCTGGGCGGTGACTTCCAGGCCGCTCGGCCTCCCAAGCAACCGGTACCTCCTCCCTTTCGGATGGAAACATCATTGCAGACTCTGATATTGCCCGTACAGGCTCTAGACTCAGGCTGGATGGACTGGTACCGGCATAGACCTAGCCTGCCGCTACTGGGCCTTCTAAAAATGCCAACTTTGTCTTCTTCTGCTCAGCCTCGAGTACCCGGCACATCTACTGCTACTGGGTGTGGTACCGGCCTACCTGCTACTTGAGTGTTTTTCCGCTGCTCTAAGTGCCGCGGACCTCTGGCTCCGCCAACTGAGTGTTTTCCCCTGCTGCAACCCTCAATGCCACGGCCACAGGTAAGTACCGGCCCTACGGGCCTGCCAAACAAGCAAGTACCCTTGCGGGTCACACACACACACTCATGCCGACAAGCACTCAGACAGGCACGCAGGTCAACAAGCACGCACACATACAGACTTCGAAAACTCAGTAGAATGCAGGAATCTCAGCAAGGCATCCATTCCATCGGCAGAACTTCAGAAATCAGCAGTGTTCTCACGCTGTGTTATGGCGGGTCATTACACATGCATAAATCGAGAAACGGTTCAAATTCATAATAAAATATCATAAATAAACAACCGGCATCTTTCCAATCAGACAACAGCAGGGGACAGATAAGAAACCAGAGCCACTTCTTGACAGTTTCAGTTGGCAGGTCAGAGAAAGAACTTAGATCAAAAAAATTCTCAAAATCCATACGAGTGATGTGTGCAAAAAAGACAAAAGAGCCAGACACATCGTTCTCGTTCTTTTCCGGTCAAAACCGAAACATAGGAGGCAAAGCGGGGGGGTGTGTGGAAACGAAACAATTTCCAGTCAAAACCAAAAGATGGGACAGGGGGGCAGGGGCGGGGGGAAACAATTCCTGATGGGCACATTTTATTTCATAAACGGTTTTAAAATTTTAAAACTATTTCATGGAATCCCTGACACAAGCTTCTCGGCAAGAAGTACAAAACAAAACATGTCTTGTCATGTCACAGGAGCTGCGCTATTCGCTCACCTTTGGACCACATAGTAACAAGCCATATAGCAGTCCATCATACAAATCTTCTATAGCTGCTGTCGCTGCCTTTCTGGATGAGTGAGGCATCCATAGGCTCGTGTACGCGTGTAAAAACGTTGCAAAATCCCTGAAATGACCAAAACACCAACACCACCGTCATATGGATGACCTGAATTCTCCTCCCTTATTCCTCTGAAGTATGGAAAATAACACCTCTTAGACAGACAAGAAAGGTACCCCTACAGCTATGTGACATACGGCAGTCATTTCACAGGGTACCCCTACAGATACATGACATATAGTGGTCATTTCACAGTGTACCCAGTGTAAGCTCTTTATGCTTCATGACTTTTCCGGGTTTTCCGCCACAGGTCCATGGCCCCTAATGTTTGAACGTGCTAGTACGAACCACCACGGCAATACCATGGGAAAGAGGTGCACTGCATATGAAAAACACTTCCCAACGGAATCCAAAACTGTGCAAACCATTATCAAGGTGATTGCAACAGGCCGTGGCTGCAACAGCAGACGTCAGTTCCCCATAACACTCTGGGTTGTGAATATTAGAATTTAGAATATATATATTCTAATATATCGTCAAATAGAACTGCCCGGTAAACCGTAGGCAGAGAGGGAGAAGAGGACAACAAATGAGGGGCTGTGACAAACTGTTTCGTCGGAGTTTCACCGACTCATCAGGAGGCTGAACCCTATATACATTTTAATACATATATTCTAATATATATAAAATAAAATATATCCCATAATATATATTTATCTTATAACACAAGCAATATATTGATTGTATATTTTTTTATTGCATATTCATATTATATCATCTCATATATAATAATAGACTATCTTACTAAATACAAAAAAATAACAAAGCTGCCGGGACATAACCCTCAGCAACAGTGTTTCAAACAATGAAAACTTTGAAGTACGCGGATTCGAGGACTCGATAAGATGAACACCTTGCGCAATGCATTACATATCACAGAATACACAATTCGCCAAACTTTGCCAGCAATCGAGAAGCGAAATAGAGTCTGTGCGCCAGCGGCATCATGCTTCTCGCCACATTCTGCTGAGGTAATGCAAAAAGCAGATACATGCGCAAGGAACCAGCCAACGATACCAAATTTTCTTAGCAGCAGAAAACACAAAGCAGGGCATGCATGTGACAGCCAAGCCGAAAGCAGATTTACAAGCCAAGAAGACACCAACGAGAACACAACTGTACTGAAGTCTCTTAATAAACAAAGCCCGACTTCTTGCCTCCTCTTACAATACGACAACAGATTAGCTGCTCTCCTGTGATGCAAACACCTGTACTACTCTCCTACTCGCTCTACATACAATCCTACTTCTCTACCTCTCACTCTCACTGTCCACCTTCCTCTCGCCCGACGCTGTGGAGTCTGACAGCTACATGCGTGCTCCTTGGCCGCTGCCAAGTAAGTCTACCGGTGCTGTCGCTGTCCTCTTCCACTGATCACCCAAACCCCTGAACACCAGCTCTTCTACCAGCGCAGCTATGGGCCAGTGTTGTCACGCGGGTATCCCCGGGGCTCAAGCCGGGGTGGGAGTTTTACCCCCGGACCCCCGGCAGCGGGGACCACCGACCCCCGCACCCCGCCATCCACCCTCGCACC